TGCGACACCTGATAGAGTACCGGAAGAAGGGAATCGGGAGCATTGGGCTGGTTCTTGAAAGTAAAGATGTAGACCATGTCCTGTTGAAGCCGTCCGAGGAAGGCCTCGTGCCTGAGAACCAATTTTATCAGCAGATCCAGAAGCTCCGGCTGATTGTTGTGTTGATTGTTCTGTGCCTGCCTTCCTTGGTTTTGGTCCGTTCCGCTTCCTCGCTGACGACCCCGACCCTTGCCCTTGCCTGTTGGCCTTGCACCCTGATTCTGTGGCTTCCTCTTGGCACTCTCGATCTGCACCGACTGCTGTGGTTCCTGCTGCGGCGCCTGGGATGAGAGCAGAGACGGAAGAACATGACCCCACAGACCCGACATCTCGCCCTCGATGTCCATCAGTGCCATCTGCAAAGAGATGCCCAAGTAGACAAGCTTGCCAGACAGCAGAGCACTGAGGTGGATGCAACGAGAACCTTTTGACCACTGCTCCACACCAACGACAAGGTGACACCGCAACTCGAGCCAGCTGCTTACACTCTAGAGTCACCGAAGCTTGAAACCGCTGCCACTCAGATGCATGAACTCGCCGTATGTGAATCTTAATCTGTGTCTGATCAACCCACTGGTGGCAGATGACACAGTGGTTAACCATTGCAGCGCATAAACTCACATCGTCAAGGAGCGACTGCCAACCACTACGCATGCATGCACCTCTCACCTGATCTCGCCGGGCCAACGGCAAGTTTGTACCATTAGCCTGCACCTGGTCAGCGGCCGTCAGTGGTGCCTGCTCATCCGGTTGATCTGGGGACAGCCCAGCCTCCTGCCTCTTCAACCAGTAGACCTCACAATTATGTTCACGAATGTGCCTTTCAAGGTGGCTCCAACTGGGGAAGCGACGGTCACAGTGCAAGCAAATAGGCATGCCATCTGTACCATGTCGATCACGAAGGAAAGGCCCTGGCATATTCGGTATAATGTGGTCATGTTGTTGCCGAGTGTGTGCTTTGAGCGCCTTCAGGTCAGGGAGGCATAGGAAGCATCGATCACATACCAGTTTAGCCACCTTCAGCCCTTTCCGACCAGAGACCATGGCCTCCAGTGGGGCACCATCCTGCGGGCGAACAACTTCTTCATTCTGGGTTACTCGAAGATATGCTGCCGCCCGGTGACATTCCTCATGATATCTTTGGCAATGGCCACCAAGTTCCACACCCACCCGCCTAAGTCGATGCAACACTGATTCAGGGAGCATGGGGTCATCAGCGTCCGTGAGTCGCGCAATCAGCGCATTGATCTGCAGCAGGAGCATCTCCCCGGGGAACTCCAGGCGCACTTGTTGTAAGACAGTCTGGTTATTATCCCCACCCACATGCACCTGATTGCCCGTGATCGCCCTGACATGTCGAAGAACCTTTGCCGTGAGTGTGGTGAGACTTTTGTAGTTTAGGCCCGTGACACTCAGCCCATGGCACAAGGTCGACCAGATACAAGTACGCCACAACCGAACGCGACCTCCGATTGAAAGATCATGTCTGCCCTGCAATGGCTTGTGAAGTCGATACCTCTGAAGCTCGGCAATGCCAAGGCGATGCTGAAGTGTCTGATCCTCGTAGCTTTCATAAGAAAGAACAGTGCCTAAGTAGGTCATCCTGTTGGCCAGGGGCAAGCA